ACGATGTGCTTATTTAAAAGAGAGAATGCATTTTTAAGAAGGAATTTTTAGGAATTATGAAACGTTTTTCTTTGAAGACTGCCATTTAAGCATATCCCTTAATTTTCTGTGCTAGAGAAGGGTCGCAAATTAACTTTGCAAGCTTTCCAATGAGAATGCTTTACTGAGCTTAATAGAGATAGAACAAAGTAGTCTTCTGTTATTTGGGACTTCGTTTTCCCCAACGCTGACGGGTATCAACATGAGGTACTCTACAAGAAAGAAGTAACATTTTCGAAACAAACTTTTTCGGTTGTACTTGTTTAAATCTACTCCTTTTCCCATGGAAGCTATCAACACCCAGCCAAGCGGGTGACGACGTTGGCCAACTGAGCACGGTGAATGAGCTGTTATCTACCTATAGGAGTTGTTAACGACTGTCATATATGCGTATGACACAGGTGGACGCTGCCTTTCAAATCATACCGTTTATTGAGGCCTATCTTTTCCGCCCGTCTCCGTACGTGGATATTAAATTAAAAACACGAGGACAATGAGAGATTTTAGAAGAATATTGGGCTGCAGTAAGATGGATGATCCCATTTTACTGTCGGTTGTCTGTGGATCCAATCATACAGGAATGGTGATAATGAGGGTTTTATGGGTGGAACAGCTCGTCAGGCAGAAAGCTGATAAATTACGAGAAAACAATTGGTTAATTATTAATTATTCAAAATTTGCCGAAATATCCATGAAAACAGAATGTTTAAATTTCCGCCAAAAGTCTTATTGTACGCCTTTGTGTGACAACGGAAGTAAGCGCATCAATTCAAAAAAATAAACAAAAAGGCAAATCTAAAAAAGGAGAGATTTTGAGCGCAGGTTTAGGTTAATGGTAAGGAAATGTTGTTGGCGGTATAGTGTCTGCCGAGGCCTGCAAATAAATGCCACGATAAAACACCCAGTGGACATAATCAACAGTCGACCGACAACTCAATACAGTCTTTCACCGTACCTTTACAGATTGAATAAATAAAAGTGAATTTTCGTGTCTGCCGGTAATTTGTTTAGCACGCTATCCGAACGACATGCTTGTGCCGGAATGTTGTGAGTACACTTTGCTCATTGCGATTGCCAGTATGGTAGAAAAATTTATCGCTGCCTAAAGAACCGTCAGCAGACCGTTTCGCAAATTGCAAATCAAAATGTTATTCAAAGACAATCTATATCTCGTTACTATCACAGGCTTATTCCGTCTCTAGATTCCGAATGCCTAGATCCCTCCACTGGACATTAAGTTATTCCCACAATTATATAATTTAGCGGTTGTGGTAAGCGACAGGCAGCAGCCATATGAAATTACGGGTTTGATGAAAGGCCCATTTCGAGTGAAGAGTAGTCCGTACTTTGTTACAAAAACGTACTGTGAGTCAGATTATCTCTTTTTTGATTAAAGCGTAGGAGTTTGGCAGGGCGCAGAAATGTTACTGGGTATGATTTGTGAGCGAGGCTTGGGTGTCAACGGTTGGGCTTGCGTCAACCTAATTCCACTTTGCCTGGAGTTTAGAAGAGGGCAACCGCGTGACGGACACAATGTTGAAATTCAACATGCACAAATAAGAGAGAAACGGAATGTATGCGCATATTTCTGAAAGAACAATAGGTGCAAGCCTGCGCGAGGGCCTGAATACTGCTGGTTAAACCTATTTTTACAAAGACCGCAGTAGCATATATACCAGTGTTCGGAGACCACTGAGACATGTAGTTCGTTACTTCAACAAATTCAGCGCGAGAGAAAAGAAATCAGTAATCGGAGTGGATTGAGCCATTCGCTATACCGACTGTTGCTGGACAATACGGAAAACGTAAGTTAAGGCAACACTGTTTCAAAACAATTCCATGGCGTCACACTATTTATCCTATCAAATGAGTGATTGGCTACCTTAAAACCGGTCTTGTGTATAGACGTAAAGCCTAGTTTATTGCGCTACTGACCACTGGATGTCCGACTACAGTGTTAGACCTAGACAAATAAATTGTCGCTCCTTTAATCTCAGAAATTATCTACGAAGTTGGGTTAGATAAGTTATTGAATATTACGCAGTTACCAGCTGTGAATTAACGTGTGTATTTGCGCGTGTAGGAATTTTAGCATGGGGATAATTGACTAAAAGGTATAGAAATGGGTTTAACGTGTCATATTCCGCGATTCAGTAAATATTATGTATGTTTTTGGGTGTTAAGATTCAGCAATTAACGGGGAGTTGAAACCCACTGATATAGCGGTTTGGAATGAGAGGGAGAGAGAGATAGAGAAGATCGCTTTATTTTGACATCAAAAAGTAAACATTGTCAGCGAAAAAATTGGCTACATTCACTATGGGCAGTAAATACGTTAACAGATTGTTTGTAGCATTTGTGTCGAGTAATAGTTCACTTTGAAGGAATGTTTTAATCATGCAGGATAAACCCAGTTAATTGCAGTACGTTATTCCACTAGCACCCATCCACACATTTCGCCTTCCTATCGACGGTGTCGCCCTGTGGCCTGGTACCTCACATTAAATTGTCCCCAGACCCCTTACCACTCTGACCTAGTATTTCCTCGGGCAGCCACTTGATCGGTGTGTCTACCCAATCCTAGCCAGCATAGCATCTATCTGGTCGTAATAGGAATTTATCTGCCACGGATATACCTTCCAATAAAACTTAAGCATTGTCAAATCATACATATTTTATTCTATAATCCTTACTGGGTAAGGTTTTGCAAACAAAATATCTTGCATTCATGATGCTGGGGAGCAGGAGGTTTAGGTGATTATTTACCGTGCTGACAATGCAGGTACTAGCTAAAAGCCCACACACGCGGGTTCTGCCGAATTCGCGCTGCTGCCTGAGGCAGTCGCGAGGGGTCGTCTCATCAATGGGTCCCTCAGCCTTCCACGTGTGTTTTCTGATATATGAACTGCGGTTCTACACTCCCTTGTATAATTTCCGAAGAAATTAATACACGAACTTCGATTAAAATCTTCGGGACAGTCCTTTTTGGCACGGTCCTAAAATTGATATGAATATTTGAGCTGAAATCCATCAGCTTATACGTGCTAATCGCGTAATATTCACATACCGCCAATAGGCGTCCAAGGGTATGGAGTTGTAAAATGATTTACCATCTGACAAGTAATCGGAATTCCGGGCCTAACGATTGTCGACAGTGTGATTATCCAAAATTTAACTAAGTATGCGTTGTTTAGAGGAGTTGATGGTTAGGCATTCACTGCCTGTGTTTTACTGTCTAAGGGTGGGGTAAACCAGACATTCATTTTGCAAACAAGTCACGTTCTTCCTAATAATGCGCTGGTTAGGAGGGAGTTTATTGACGAAATGTTGGGCTGGCTTTTTCCAGGAGCAAAGTGTTCGAGTACTGCAAGCCGCGGACCAACGAAGCACCAACATTTGAATTCGCTCACCGGCGCATGAATACTGGCTTCTGATTTGCCATAAAATCGATCGTTTTTCAGCCGGTTCTTCACGGGTGAGCGGAGTGCGGAAATCACATTGGTTAGCTTCAAACGGTGCATTTCGCGTGCATACCTTCATTAACTCTCGTTACCACTAGCAAAGACAAGGATGGCATAAAATATATTATAGCGTCCAACAAATGTAAACAGTTCGGAGAAGGCGACTATAACGCGACCTCGCATTAACCAGCCCAGGTCGGTCAGGGAATGGGCCATATTCCCAAATCCTCCTCCCAAGGTATGACTTGTGAAGGATTGAAGGCGTTAAGGAAACCTGGCAAGACAAGTTAAGTCTGTTTCAATGGTGTTGGAAACACTTCACGGCCATTTTCGTTTCAAACGACACCTAATTAAATGTCTCATTTACATTATTACACCACGCAGAAGTTGACATTACTTACATAAGTGCATACATATCACGCTTATGCGGACAACAACCGCGGCTCAGGTAAGTTCTACTCTGACATTAATGATCAGTCTCATATGAGCTTTCGGTTTCATGCTGCGTAATTTGAGATTGTGCCACTTATATTTTGACGGTTGTCTTTTCCTTCTTGAAGTGAACGGGCAACCCGGGCGAAAGACAGGAGACTCTACTAAATCTCGGGCTAATGAATAGAAGAAAGAATATCCAACTTACTGCATTTTTCATCGTGATTGCTTTCATCATGGTTACTTACTATCTCGCGGAAACTGCAGAGGAACCAAAAATTATCGACCAAAACGTTCCTTCTCCCGTAAAAATACAATACAGACCAGATTTGCAGAGCTTTGTGGTGGATAGTGGCAAAACACAAGAGAAACGTAAACAGCTTCCAAATCTGGAGAATATAAATTGGCCCGAACGGGAATTTTTACGCCTTCCGTTTGGCGCTCCGGGAAGCATTCAGGCACCCCTGGAAGCGAAATTCAGCCGTGGACAGATGCGTACAATGTGGAAGTTGTTTTTAACTTTCGTGGATGTCATGGATGAGCTCGGTTTTAGTGACAGGTGGATGATCTACTCCGGCAGCCTGTTTTCATCCTTTCGTCACCATGATATCGGACCCTGGGACGATGACCTTGATGTTCTCGTTGACGAGAATGTTAGACCGGCGCTGTGGAGGAAGATGCGTAGGCTGAGACCAAAATTCATTATTCGAAAATCTGGACTTAGGGACAAGATTTACGCAGAGTTGATTCAACCCAGCAATGCCTCACAGGATGCTGACGGTAGCCGCAAACTCAGTTTGCACAATTGGGGCTGGCCTTACGTGGACATCAGCTATTACACATCTAACGTGACCCACATCAAGGAAC